TCTGATATGAAGGACGGGACATGCTGGGTAGTCTGTCTCGGTCTCTGATATGAAGGAGGATGGGACATTCTGGGTAGTCTTTCTCTCTCTCTGATATGAAGAATGGGACATTCTGGGTAGTCTGTCTCTCTCTGATATGAAGGACGGGACATTCTGGGTAGTCTGTCTCTCTCTGATATGAAGGACAGGACATTCTGGGTAGTCTGTCTCTCTGATATGAAGGATGGGACATTCTTGGGGACATTCTGGTCTGTCTCGTTCTCTGTTCTGATATGAAGGACAGGGACATTCTGGGTAGTCTCTCTCGGTCTCTCTGATATGAAGGACGTAACATTCTGGGTAGTCTGTCTCATTCTCTGATGATATGAAGGACGGGACATTCTGGGTAGTCTGTCTCTCTGTCTCTGATATGAAGGACGGGACATTCTGGGTAGTCTGTCTCTCTGTCTCTGATATGAAGGACGGGACATTCTGGGTAGTCTGTCTCTCTCTGATATGAAGGACGGGACATTCTAAGTAGTATATCTCTCTCTGATATGAAGGACAGGACATTCTGGGTAGTCTGTCTCGGTCTCTCATATGAAGGATGGGACATTCTGGGTAGTCTGTCTCGTTCTCTGATATGAAAGACGAGAAATTTTGGGGTAGTCTGTCTCTGATATGAAGGACAGGACATTCAGGATAGTTTGTCTCTCTCTGATATGAAGGATGGGACATTCTGGGTAGTCTGTCTCTCTGATAGGAAGGATGGGAGATTGCGGGTAGTTTTCTGTCTCTGTCTCTGATATGACGGAGGGGACACTCTGGGTAGTCTGTCTCATTCTCTGATATGAAGGATGGGACATTCTGAGTAGGCTGTCTCGTTCTCTGATATGAAGGATGGGACTTTCTGGGTAGTCTGTCTCATTCTCTGATATAAAGGATGGTACATTCTGGGTAGTCTGTCTCAGTCTCAGTCTCTGATTTGAAGGATGGGACATTCTGGGAAGTCTGTCTCTCTCTGATATGAAGGATAGGACATTCTGGGTAGTCTGTCTTGGTCTCTGATATGAAGGACGGGACATTCTGGGTAGTCTGTCTCGTTCTCTGATATGAAAGACGAGAAATTTTGGGTAGTCTGTCTCTGATATGAAGGACAGGACATTCAGGATAGTTTGTCTCTCTCTGATATGAAGGATGGGACATTCTGGGTAGTCTGTCTCTCTGATAGGAAGGATGGGAGATTGTGGGTAGTTTGTCTCTGTCTCCTGATATGACGGAGGGGACATTCTGGGTAGTCTGTCTCATTCTCTGATATGAAGGATGGGACATTCTGGGTAGTCTGTCTCATTCTCTGATATGAAGGATGGGACACTCTGGGGTAGTCTGTCTCATTCTCTGATATGACGGAGGGGACATTCTGGGTAGTCTGTCTCATTCTCTGATATGAAGGATGGGACTTTCTGGGTAGTCTGTCTCGTTCTCTGATATAAAGGACGGTACATTCTGGGTAGTTTGTCTCTCTCTGATATGAAGGATGGGACATTCTGGGTAGTCTGTCTCGGTCTTTGATATGAAGGATGGGACATTCTGGGTAGTCATTTTCTCTGTCATGAAGGATGGGACATTCTGGGTAGTCTATCTCTCTCTGATATGAAGAATAGGACATTCTGGGTAGTCTGTCTCTTATTATGCATTTTGTTTTTATCTTGTGTTCTGTGTCTTTAAGACTTTTCTATCTGTAGTAAAATATCTTTTTTAAACAGTTTGTTGCATAAGAGTTAGGTTTATTGTTTCTTACATTTTTTAGTTGTTTTTGATCTTCCCTGGTATCTCTGTAAGGTAGATACAATGCTGGAATGGTTATTAGGGGACATTTCTTGGGGCTGCAGTTCCTCTGAACTCCACAAGATGGTGATCTCATTTCTACTACCCCCAGACAGGACTTCTCTATGGAATACAGACAGGAAGTGATGTCAGGAACAGACAGGAAGTGATCTGGAATAAAGATAAGACGTTCCATTTGGTCTGAAGGAGATCGGAGAGGTTGCTGGACGTGGCAGTAGAGGAGGTAATTATTATTATACAGGATTTATGGCACCAACAGTGTCCTCAGCGCTGTACAATATAACGAGAGACAATACAGCAACAATACAGATCAATACAAGAGGGATAGGAGGGCCCTTATCCTGGGAGCTTATAATTTAAGAGGGGAGGGGCTAGTGGTACAAAAGGGTAGTAACTGTGGGGGATGGACTGGTTGGAAGAGTAGAAGATTCCTTTATTAGCTGAGGGCAGGAGAGGCTTCCCTGAAGAGAGAGTGTTTAAGATTCTAAGCTCCCTTAGTATATTATTTATTCAACCATTTAAGTAATTTAATATCCTGAAAAATATTTCTTGATTGGAAGGTAGGGGAGAGTTAATTTAATTTATTATAGAAGGCTTGTAGGACCTTTATTTAATTTCATATTGTGCATTTTTAAATTAGTTTGTTTATCTTACTATAGAATATTCATTTAGATGATATTTTATTTAAATTGAATTATAATCTTTGTACCCCACTTGTATTATTAAGGTATCGGGATTCTGAATGTTTATAATTACTTTGATCATTCGCATTACTAAATTCTTAAGAAAGGACTATCTAGCTTTGGGGTAGTAGGATTTTAGATCATATTTTAATTGCCTTTATATGTTAGTAAAAATATTAGTTAGTCTTGTTATTTCTAATTATTATAATATTGAAATGGAATTTCTGTTTTTTTTTTTAATTGTTTTTTAAATTTTGTATGACGGTACCTTTTATTTGATAAAGATATTTTAAACTTTGCTTTATATAATAGTGGTGTTTTAGTCCCATCTGCCCATATCGATTATTTAAAGGATTGGTAATCCCTTGTAGTAGTTTTCGTCAGATTTTGATAGAGGTCTCTTTTTTTATATCCCTTCATATTTTAGTTTTATTTCTCAATTTTAATTAAATAAATTTTTCAATTAAATTTTTTTTATAAATATTTAAACGGGAGTCCCCCCCCCCCATATAGTATAGTCCCCCATATATAGGGGAGCATCCCACCTACAGTGGGCTTCCCCATATGTCATCAGTGTACATCATGCTAAGTACTCCATATAGTGAGTCATTCCCGCATTGGATTGTAGAGTACCCCCTGTTCAGATGTTTTTGTGGCCGTTCCCTCTCCTAATCCTTCCGCCAGGAAAGGTTTTCAGGACGTACTGTAGAGGAGAAGAGTTCTCGTCACGCTGTGCCCCGCCGTACATCCCCTGGCTGCCCCGACTACATGTGACAGCTGCAGAGTCCTGACGCCCGAGAGGAGGGAGCAGTCTTGCACATCCGAGAGGGGGGGCGGCCCATCAGGGAGAGGACGGCGAGGAGGAGGAGATTCGTGAGGCCGCCCGCAGTGCGAACCCGATGAGGAGGGAGGGACGGAGCGGGCGGGAATCAGGAGATGCCGCATGAAGTTATGTATCTGTTTTTGATCTTACCACTGGCTTTGTATATGTTCTTGTCGGGAGCTCTAGCTCCGCGGGCCAGGACATTATAAGGCCGCCGGGCCAATCCCCGCACACGGGAGGTAGCCGCCGCCCATATGACCGGCGTCAGTCGCCCCGACAAAAGGTAGTAACTGTGGGGGATGGATCTGGTTGGATTTCTAGTGAGTCAGATCCAGCTGCCGTTAGCACTGAGGGCAGTGAGAGCTTCTCCTGAAAGAGAGTTTTGAGCTACAAGGTGGTTTCGAATAGTGAACAAGTAGGTGGTAGTCCTGATTTGTGCTAGAATTGGGCGTATAAGTTTTTCCAGAGGGATTTTGAGGAAGGAGCTCTGGAGAAGTCATGGACGACGAGCATGGGAAGCGGAGACGGGTCCATAGCTGGAGAGTTTAGGGGGTCAGTGAGGTGGTGGAAGTCAGGACGGTTTGGGGTGATACTTTAAAGACAAGATCGGGAATGTTTTTTGGAGCAGAGACACAAATATTTATATGTTATTGTTAGTGGTTTTGAATTTTATCCACGTTGGGCAACTGGGGTAAGCCGGGGAGGGAGGATAAGGCAGAGAGGGGTGGAGGACACTGAACATGGTGGCCTAGTGGAGGGATTGGCAGAGAGGTGGATGAAGAGACTGAATGGAGAGCAGGTGGAGGATTGAAAGGCAGAGAGGGGTGGAGGACACTGAATTGAATGTGCCATGGAGGGATGGCAGGAAGGGAAAGGTAGGACACTGAAATGGAGGCCAGTGAAGGGATTGGCGTCATCTTAGGGTTAGGACACTGAGTAGCAGGCCCCAGTGGAGGGCGATTGGCACAGAGGGTGGGTTAGGACACCTGGGTGAGAGGCCTCAGAGTGGAGGGGATTGGGCAGAGAGGGGGTGGCAGATATCAGTATTGGTGTTAGTAAGGTGGATGAGTCTGCAGCAGCGCATTCATGATTAGTGTTTGAAGTGAAGTTGGAGATAGCCTGCGATGAGGTTTTCGGCCAATATGAGGAGGGAGTTACAATAGTCAAAGGCGAGATATATAACAAGGGATTTTGAATATGTAGTTGCTTAGTGAGTTTCGGTTTCTGAGGTTTAGGAACGGGGTTATTTGGAGTCTGTTGCGCCAATGGGGAGGTTGTGTCTAAGATTTGGGACAGTGATTGGATTTGGGGGTTGAAAGGACAGATGGGAGTCTTGGGATTACCCCTAGTACCCCTGGCATGAGGGGAGGGACTGAGTATGTTTGTATTATTGATTTGATGGAGAAGTCAGGGGAGGGGCACAGGCTGGGGAGAATTTACTAAGAGCTCAGTTTTGGGAAAGATTGAGTTTGAGGAAGCGTGGAGTGGGAGTGACGATCCATGCCGATATGTCACTAGTTCTAGTAGATTAGTAATGCGAGAAGTTTGAAGTGAAGGGGTGTGGCCTCAATTCGATCGTGGGCATTGACTGTAGGGGATGAGGTGATGGAGACTGCAGGGGCGAGGTAATAAGGGGTAGAAAGATAGATTTGTGTGTCATCAGCATAGATGAGGTATGGTACTTACATGCGAGCGTGGGAGTTTATCATAGTGGCCAAGGGCAGAGGTGGTGAGAGGGGAGAAGAGAAGGGGTCCAGACGATGGGGAGAGCCTGAGTGAGGGTACCCCTACAGAGAGAGGGTAGTGTGAGGAGGAGGCATGAGTTATCGGTAACCACTGAAGGAGCTCTGCGATAGGTTTAGGAGATCCGGAGAGAGCAGAGTCTCGGGAGTAGGCCAAGAGAATGTAGTTTTTTGTAGGAGGAGGGGGTCAGAGTAGTAAGAGTATATGGCTAGTGGCGATTGGTTGGATGGTTTGTACTCGGAGTTGAGTGGCCATTGGTTGGATGAGTACGGAGTAGTGGCCATTTGGTTGGGTTATGAGTACGGAGTAGTGGCCATTGGTTGGGGCTATGAGTACGGAGTAGTGGCCATTGGTTGGGATGAGTACGGAGTAGTGGCCATCGGTTGGGTTGCTGATGAGTACGGAAGTAGTGGCCATGTTGGGTTGGGATGAGTGGAGTAGTAGGCCATCGGTTGGGGATTGAGTACGGAAAGTAGTGGCCATGGTTGGGGATGAGTACGGAGTAGTGGCCATCGGTTTGGGATGAGTACAGGTACTGGCCATCGGCTGGGAATATGGTGTAGTACAGTAGTAGTGGCCATTGGTTGGGATGAGTACAGAGTAGTGGCCATTGGTTGGGATGAGTACGGAGTAGTGGCCATTGGTTGGGGATGAGTACGGAGTAGTGGCCATTGGTGGGTTAGTAGGGAGTAGTGGCCATGGTTGGGGATGAGTATGGAGTAGTGGCCATTGGTTGGGAGAGTACGGAGTTCAGTAGTGGCCATTGGTTTGGGATGATTACGGAGTAGTGGCCATATTGGTTGGATGAGTACGGAGTAGTGTTTTAGTGGCCATTGGTTGGGATGAGTACAGTAGTCGAGAGTGGCCATTGGTTGGGATGAGTTATGGAGTAGTGATCATTGGTTTTAGCAGTTAGTAGATCATTAGTGAGTTTTAGTAGGGCAGTTTCAGTGGAGTGTAGTGAGTGAAAGCCAGACTGTAAAGGGTCAAGAAGGTTGTTGTCGGTGAGGTGGGAGCTCAGGCGATTGTAGACTAAGCGTTCATTAAAGAGTTTAGAGGTAAATGGCAGCAGGGAGATGGGTCTTAAGTTGTTCAGGTTGGTGGGGTCCAGGGAGGGCTTTTAAGTATGGGAGTGATTGATGTGCGCTATGTTTAAGCATTAGAGGGAGGGGGAAGGCACCAGTAGAGAGGGAGAAAGATTGAAGATGTGAGTGAGGGAGAGCATAGGATGGAAGAAGAGGGTGACCATAGTAGTTGTGAGGGGCCAGGATCCAGGGGGGCAGGTTGAGGTGAGACGGGCTTCTGAGAAAACCTTAGTGACCTCTTCGGTAGTAGCGAGGTCAGAAGAGGAGGAAAGTGTTGAGGGAGGTTTAGTATAAGGTATGCTGTAAGTGGGATGGATTGTCTGTGCAGTGGTGATGCCTCTACAAATTGCAATCAATCTTGTTTTTTTTGAAATGATTTTGCTAATAATCTCATGAGCAGTGAAGTGAGGTACTAGGTGGTGTGAGGTGGAGAAAGTAGAGGGGTTAGAAACCCGTCTAAAGAAGAGATGACGAGGACATGATGATGAAGCAAGGGACTGAATTTGCAAGGATATTGATAGTGATTTAGTGAACAAAGTAAGGTCGTGCTTGTTTGGCAGCATGGAGGGAGGAATTGTATGTGAAGAAAGCAAGCATTTGGTCGATTTTATATCGGGTGAATGCTTGTGATGAGATTTGGTTATTACGTCCACAATCTCTCCAGCGAATGTCACTCCAACATCATTCTGGTGTGAAGTCAGGTCTGCCACGGATGTAATGGTCGGGGTGGCCTGATGCTTCGTGTTGTTAGATGAGAGACAAGTGAGTCTAATGTGGATGGGGAAGTGAACTGTTTAGTCAGCAGTGGCCCAGGTCAGGGCAGGACAGGGGAGAGATTCTGTACATATAGAGTTGGTCAGTTTGCAGTCAGTGGAAAGGGAGCCGGGATTCAAGTTGGTAAGGTTTCTCTGCGGGGTTAATTGTTTGGCTGCTTGGAGGGATAAGGTGTTTGAAGATCTGAGTGAGACTGTGAAGATGATGAGGTTTGATCAAGAGAGAAGTGGGTGAAAGGGGTGTTTGAAGGTAGTAGGGAGTGCAAAAATGGAAGAAAAATCAAGGTCTAATGTATTCCCTATCAGAGTGAGTGGAGGACGGCGGTCCGTCAGAGTGAGTGGAGGACGGTAATACATGAGTAAATGTAAAAGATGAGGTTATGTTGATAGTTAGTTGGGATGTAGCCGGTTGTTGTTGACATAAATAGGGATGTAAAAAAATCTCTTGAGAATGATAGCGGGTAGACTCAGAGCTAGAGAGAAAGTAGGGTAGCCAGGCGGAGAAATCATCAAGAAAGAAAAGCGGGACACGGGTCCAGGAGGCCGATAGTATCACTGCAATCCTCAGAGAAATGGGACGCAGAAGGAGTCTATAATACAGCCGGATGCAGTGAGTCTGGGAGAAGAGAAGGATAGAGATGGAGGAAGGTAGGGGGACTTGAAAGGTGCTCAGTGGGGATAGAAGCAAACCAACCCCACCACCTTTCTGACCACCACTGGGTCTGGGTGAGGTGGGTCCTGAGGTGAATGCCTCCATAGGGAAAGTTACTGCGGGGAGGAAGCAGAATCTGCTGCTTGGAATCAGGTTTCTGTAATTGCTAGTAGGTTAAGGGGAGCGGGAGACAAAAGGTCATGGACAGAGGTGAGCTTATTACAGACAGAGCGGGCATTCCAGAGCACACATGAAAAAGGGGTCAGGGTGGTTTTTGGGGAGCACGGGGACTCATATTAAATTGAGGGGATTGCAAGCTATTCCTGGAACCCAGTGAAAGAGGATGCCTGGTGTGGGGGTGAAGTATACTGGTTGAGGACCAGGGTTTTTGGGAGCTTTTATCCCCAGAGGTTAGGAGGAGGGTGCCTGGTGTGGGGGTGAAATACTGGGGGACCAGGGTTTGGGGGGGTATCCCCAGAGGTTAGGAGAGGAGGATACCTGGTGTGGGGGCGTGAAATACTGGAGGACCAGGGTTTGGGGAGGGTATCCCCAGAGGTTAGGAGAATGGAGGAATGCCTGGTGTGGGGGTGAGATACTGGAGAACCAGGGTTTGGGGAGATATCCCCAGAGGTTAGGAGAAGGAGGGATGTGCCTGGTGTGGGGGTGAGATAGTGGAGGACCAGGGTTTGGGGAGATAAACCCCCAGAGGTTAGGAGAAGGAGGGTGCCTGGTGTGGGGGTGTGAGGGGTAGTAGGAGGACCAGGGTTTGGAGAGATATCCCCAGAGGTTTGGAGAAGGAGGGTACCTGGTTGCAGGGGGGTGAGATAGTGGGTCGGACCAGGGTTTGGGGAGATATCCCCATAGGTTAGGAGAAGGAGGTTGAGGAAAGAAAGATGGGATCGGGATGTACCGAGCGCACTTGCCTTGCAGTCCTGGTGTTTGGGTCAGCAGTTGAGAGTGAAGAGTATCAGCGGAGGGATGGGATGAGAGCAGCAGTAGTAAGGGATTGATGGGTAGCAAGTGAGGGGGAGATGTACATGTTTTGGGTGGTGGAAGCAGAGGGGTAAAAGAAGTGAGATTTTTGGAACACAGGATAGTAATATGATAAAGGAGGAGTAGAGGGGACATATGAAAAGGTACACGGAGTGGGACTCAGACTTGTAGGAGATGTTTCCTGGGGGTGTTTGCTTGCATGCAGTCTGTCCAGCATGCAGTAGTTTCTTGTTGTATCTTCCTGCTGCTTGAGTTCAACTGCTTCTTAGCACTCCATCAACGCAGAACTCACTCAAAAGCAGAGAAGCACCCCCTCAGTGACTGTGCCCCACCCATCAGTTCGATCTCCCCCCCTCAGTGACTGTGCCCCACCATCAGTGATCTCCCCCCATCAGCTGATCTAAATTTATAGGGAGATGGCCCAAATGAGCACTTGATCTCTGCCCCAATTAGGAACTGATAAGGATCACATGAATGGGGGGGATGATTCTCAAACACAGACCAGACACAGGCCATAGTCATAAATCGGTAATAAGATGTTATGTTCTATTTACACCCAGTAACCCCCCGTCATTTCCGTCCCGTCTTTCCTCCATAGTCATGTCCATCCTCTCTTGTGTCCATAGTCATGTCAACGTCCGTCCTCTTCCTCCGTCCGTAGTCATGTCCGTCCTCTTCCTCCGTAAGTCATTGTCCGTCCTCTTCCTCCATAGTCACTGTGACGTCTTTTATCTCCAGCAGATGATGATACACACATATATAGTGTGGAACCCAGTATGAACCCCTTCAGGGGCAGAACATCCCCCACTTCCGGGGCCGGAACATTCTCCTCTCATTGTGGAGATAAATTCTAGTAAATATGGTCCTCTAAACAAACAGCACTGACAATAAATAGACAAGACAAGGACCATCCTGACCATTACATGGCCTACAAAGGGCAATGATGACACTACACAGGCAGCCAATGGGCAATCATTACACTATGCAGCCAACACAATGATGGAGTGGCCGGGGTCAGGAGTATGGAGCATAGAGCCCCTTACATTGCTGTATTTACTTTCCCAGCCTCCTTACAGAACTCCTATCAGGAAAGGAAGACAACCTTCACCTTCTGACCCATCTCATTATTTTCCAGTATACCAAGAGGAATGAAGGAGGAGGGCAGTCCTTCACCCCTTGGTGGGCACTTGTTCTTAGAGGAGGTCTGTTGGTGCATTATTGACTAAAAGGTAGTTCAGGGGTCAGTGCTGAACATCTTCAGGAGACAATCCAATACCCTCCGCTCCATGATACAGGCTCTGGCAGTGCCCTGGTTGCTGGAATTCAGAGCCCCAGGAACCCACCACCACTCTGTTACAATATCCTGGAGTACCAGAGAATACTTGGCAACTAAGAGAATCCCCTACTGTAGTCCTGCCTACCCACACTGGGGCTGCCATTGGGGGAAGAGAACAGGCTCCTCCCCCACAGCTCTCTACTCCCACCAGCACCATCCTCATGCTATCCAATCCCTTCTGTTACTGAAGAGAGAGTGACAGTGACATCACTCCTGTCAGTCAACAGGCTGCCGGAGATTTTTTTTTTGGAGCCTTGCAGCCGGAGGTCTGCCAATTATCCTGGATTAACAGGGAACTCCAGCCAAAAGTCATCAAGTTTCCCTTTTCTGGACCTCATGATGAGCCGACATTGACCTCACAGCACTGCCTCAGAGCAAACAAGTCATAGGAAGGATCATATTTATCATTCCTTGTCTGCAGATCTAAAACTCATCAAAACCAGTTCAGAGACCAAACAAACCCAACAGAGAAAAGGGGATTTCTGATCTGGATGGACAAGAGGGTCCCGGGACCTCAAATATGCATCAAACACTAAACACTCCAAACTAAATTTGTTTCCAGGAGGACAGAAGTTGTGTGAACTGGTTCCCACCGGGCCTATTGTACAATGACGGCGGACAGGACCTCTCTCCTTCTGGAAGGAGGTTGTATGATGTCCTCCCACACTCTTGCTGTGGGGACAGTGTGGAGGGGGGACGCAGCATGGGGATTGGTGGGGAGCTCACACTATAAGAACGCATCAACTGATCAGGGAAAAGATCCAATGATGTTGTCTCTTTACCATGTGATCAGCTGTATCCAATCACAGCTGATCACATGTTAACAAATGCCGGTTATTGGGATTTTCCTGTCCTCAACGCTGTCACTGTCTGAGGAAAGGAAAGGAAACCGATAACCGGCTTTCCTGTGACAGGGGACATGTACTGTGATTAATTAGTGCCCATCAGTGCAGCCCCATCAGTGCAGCATATCAGTGCCCATCATTGCAGCCCCATCAGTGCAGCCCCATCAGTGCAGCATCTCAGTGCCCATCATTGCAGCCCCATCAGTGCAGCCCCATCAGTGCAGCATCTCAGTGCCCATCAGTGCAGCATATCAGTGCACGTTAGTGCTGCAAATCAGTGCCACCTATCAGTGCAGCCCCCATCAATGCAGCTTCATCAATGCCCATCAGTGAAAGAGAAAAAAATTTTTTTTTTTTTTGCAAAATGTATAACAAATGAAGAAAAAAGTTTTTTACTTCAAAATTATTGTTCTTTTTTTGTTTGTTTATCAATAAATTAAATCTCCCCTTCCCTCCCCCCAGTGGTGAATTAATACTGCACCACCAACAAAAGAAAGCTCTGTCTAAAAAAATGTTACAAATGTCATTTGGGTTCAGTGTTGCATGACCACGCAAGGCCACGGGAGGACACGGAGAGGTGACACCGGGTTAGGACAGGAAGGGGAAGTGGGCTCGGAGATATGGAGACACACAGTATAAATAAGACCATCTACCACCAGCAGCCAATCCTCTTACAGCCCCCTAGAGGAGGGGAAATGCTGTCAGTGACAGCTGCGGTGATGTAATTCCCGAATGGTGAGACTCATGTGGATGGGCCACTTTTTCGGTCGGGAGACATTTTGCTTGTATATTATATAACAAATGTGAGTGTATATGGTTTGCTGTAAAGGAAGTTTGTAATAAATGGAATGACACCCATGTGGGTGATTGTTGTTATCTCCTCCCTGCATACATCATGAGATGAACCATCAGTTGTATGATATATTGGGGGGGGGAAATTGTACACAATCATCCAGGAGGACTACAAGCTCCAGACTAACCAGAAACCATGACACAGCACATAGGACTCCTATTCCAGTGTAAGAGTCCACATCCTGTGGTGGGGAGGAGGGGGAGCACTGGAGGGGGAGCACTGGAGGGGGAGAGCACTGGAGGGGGGGCACAACTGGAGGGCAGCACGAGATCTGCACTTTGATGAAAGGGAGAAGCACAAGGCACTTTATTCCGCACGGTTGGTTGGTGCAGTGTGATTGGAGGAGCACAAGGGGCACTTTCTTTATTCCGCACGGTCGGTTGGCGCCAGTGTGATTGGAGGAGCACAAGGCACTTTATTCCGCACGGTCGGTTGGCGCAGTGTGATTGGAGGAGCACAAGGCACTTTATTCCGCACGGTTTGGTTGGCGCAGTGTGATTGGAGGAGCACAAGGCACTTTATTCCGCTCTTGTCACGGTCGGTTGGCGCAGTGTGATTGTTGAGAGGCACAAGGCACTTTATTCCGCATCGGTTCCGCTAAAAGGTGTGATTGGTTGGCGCAGTGTGATTGGAGGAGCACAAGGCACTTTTATTCGCGCACGGTCGGTTTGGCGCAGTGTGATTGGAGAGGCACAAGGCACTTTATTCCGCACGGGTCGGTTGGCGCGCAGTGTGATTGGAGAGGCACAAGGCCACATTATTCCGCACGGTTGGTTGGCGCCAGTGTGATTGGAGAGGCACAAAGGCACTTTATTCCTCTTCCACGCACGGTCGGTTGGTGCAGTGTGATTGGAGAGGCACAAGGCACTTTTATTCCGCACGGTTGGTCGGCTTGGCGCAGTGTGATTGGAGAGGCACAAGGCACTTTATTCCGCACGGTTGGGTTGGCGCAGTGTGTGATTGGAGAAGCACAAGGCACTTTATTCCGCACGGTTGGTTGTGGGCGCAGTGTGATTGGAGAGGGCACAAGGCATCACTTTATTCCGCACGACGGTCGGTTGGTGCGCTGTGTGATTGGAGGAGCATCACAAGGCACTTTATTCCGCACGGTCGGTTGGCGCAGTGTGATTGGAGGAGCACAAGGCACTTTATTCCGCACGGTACAAGGTCGGTTGGCGCAGTGTGATTGGAGGAGCACAAGGCACATTATTCCGCACGGTTGGTTGGCGCAGTGTGATTGGAGAAGAAGCACAAAGGCACTTTATTTCCGCACGGGTCGGTTGGCGCAGTGTGATTGGAGAGCACAAGGCACTTTATTCCGCACAGTCTCGGTTGGTTAGCAGTGTGATTGGAGAGGCACAAGGCACTTTATTCCGCACCTGTCGGTTGGTTTTGCAGTGTGATTGGAGAGGCACAAGGCACTTTTATTCCGCCACGGTTGGTTGGCGCAGTGTGATTGGAGAGGCACAAGGCAGAGTTATATTCAAGGCACTTTATTTCCGCACGGTCGGTTGGCGCAGTGTGATTGGAGGAGCACAAGGCACATTATTCCGCATCGGTTGGTTGGCGCAGTGTGATTGGAGAGGCACAAGGCACTTTATTCCGCACGGCGGTCGGTTGGCACAGTGTGATTGGAGAGGCACAAGCACATCAACTGATATAAAAGAACTATTAATATTGATGATTTTTATTTTTCTATTCAGTATTTATGAGGGATTTTTATATTGAATTTGGATGGATTTTCATGCAGTTGGACACGTTGGGAATGGGACACAATTTTTGCCCAGACTAGGCAGTGCCTAGAATAGTACTGTATATGACCGCATAATTGTCATCCAAACTGCGACAGCACTGACATCTGAAAAGTGTTCTGGTCAGGAAGGGGGTGGAAGTGTCCGGTATTGAGGTGGTTAGATGTCCAGCAACCCTCCTATTCCCCCCTCACATCCACATCCTATTATTGTGTGACCAATACATCCAAATACACTCACTGGCCTCCCTATCAGGTCCACCTGTTCAATTGCTGGGTAACACAAACTGCTAATCAGCCAATCACATGGCAGCAAAACTCAATGAATTTAGGCATCTAGATATGGCAAAGACAACTTGCTGAAGTTCAAACTGAGCATCAGAATGGAGAAGAAAGGGGATTTAAGTGACTGTGAATGTGGTGTGGTTTGTTACTGCCAGGCAAGTTGGTCTGCATATTTCAAAAACTGCTGATCTCCTGGGATTTTCCCGCACAACATTCTCTAGGGTTTCCAGTGAATGGTCCGAAAAAAGGGATAATATCCCAGTGAGCGGCAGTTGTGTGGAGCAAAATGCCTTGTTGATGTCAGGAGGAGAATGGGCAGACAGTTTGCTGCGACATTCAGATGGTAAGGTCAGAATTTGGCATAAACAAACATGAAAGCATGGATCCATCCTGCATTGTATCAATGGTTCATGCTGGGTGGTGTCATGGTGGGGGGGGGATGAGATTTTCTTGGCACTAGCAAGGTGGACCTAATAAAGTGGGCCGGTGAGTGTAATTCTTACTTTCATTTCCCAAAGTTATCCGTCTACAAGGAGACCTGTATAGATCACATGATGGCACCAATGAGGATGGAGGAGGACCGGAGTCACATGACTGAGAAGATACTAAACTTCACCCTGGAGATCATCTACCTGCTGACCGGAGAGGTGAGGAGGATTCTGGGAGGTCACATGACATCACTCTCATCTCTATTAATAAAACACAGACCTGACCGGAGAGGTGAGGAGGATTCTGGGAGGTCACATTACATCACCCTTATCTCTATTAATAAAACACAGACCTGACCGGAGAGGTGAGGAGGATTCTGGGAGGTCACATGACATCACTCTTATCTCTATTAATAAAACACAGACCTGACCGGAGAGGTGAGGAGGATTCTGGGAGGTCACATGACATCACTCTCATCTCTATTAATAAAACACAGACCTGACCAGTAAGTAGAGGTGAGGAGGATTCTGGGAATCTAACACGATTATTCCTATTGGTTCCTCAATACAGAGATTTCCTCTTCTGAAAGTCAGGTGATCATATGACCATCACAGTGCCTCCATGTGACTCCCTAAACCCTGAGAGGACACAACATGCAGAAGATTCTAGAAGTCACCAAGAAGATGATGATGGAGCTGCTGACAGGAGAGGTGAGCTGGTGCCGGGAATTCTGGGACATTCTCGCCAGTAACAGACAAGGGATGTGTCTGGATGGTGACTGTATCATTGTGTGTCAGGTTCCTATAAGGTGTCAGGGTGTCACTGTCTAATTTCTCCATGGAGGAGTGGGAGTATTTAGAAGGACACAAGGACCTCTACAAGGACGTCATGATGGACAATCAGCCGCCCCTCACATCACCGGGTAAGAGGAGACTTTATTGTAAAGGAGAGAGCAGTACGGAGGATCCACCTAGATCCCCCATCATCTGATAAACACATAGAAACAATGGATTCAGTCAGTGTGTGTGTTTCCTACAGATGGATCCAGTCATGGGAACCCACCAGAGAGATGTCCCCGTCCTCTGTATTCCCGGGATTCCACACAGGAAGGTCACACCATCCCTCACCATCATCAGGTAGATGAGGAACAATCACTGATAGTATCATTAGGATCTGTGTACATTATCTGCATTGTTACCATTGATGGCATTTTTATTATATATTCAGAGTGGAAACCTGAGAGATCCTAAAGCTGAGGTTAAAGAAGAGATAAAAGAGGAGGAGGATGAGGATGGGGGGATGGAGGAGTCAGAGCTTCTAGAAGAACACAAAGATCTGTACCAGGACACCATGGTGGAGTCATCCAGCTACAGGAACCCACCAGAGAGATGTCCCCGTCCTCTGTATTCCCGGGATTCCACACAGGAAGGTCACACCATTCCCTCACCATCATCAGGTAGATGATGACAATTATTGGTAGTTGTGATTTATACACAGCATGTTTGTTACAATGAATGTTTTATTATATCTTTCAGAGTGGAATCCTCGGGGATTGATAATATTGATGTTAAAGAAGAGTATAAAGAGGAGGATGAGTCTATGAGTATGGAGTGATGGAGGAGTTTTCAGAAGGACACAAGGATATGATGGAGCCACCTAATACCAGGAACCACCACCAGAGAGAATGTCCCCGTCCTCTGTATTCCTGGGATTCCACACAGGAAGGTCACACCAACCTCCCTCACCATTGCAAGGTTGGTGGGATGGAGTATCTAGAACATGGACTTTGTGTAAAGATGATGTGTGGATTTTTTATGATGTGACCTATATTTTTACGGATGATATTTTCTCATCTCTCATTTCCTTGATTTAGAGTGGAGATCCAATCGATATAGAATTTGAGGTGAAAGCAGAAGAAGAAGTGAGAGCGTATGTGAGGGGATGATCAGCAGTCTATGGAGGAGGATGGAATAACGGGGACATTTATAGAGGAGGACACTCCTACAGAGATCAGCACAGGTGGGTCATGAACACTAAATCCATTCCTCCACCCATACTGCTCACTGATTGGTCCAGAGTAGGGCGGGGACTGGTGATATCAGCCTGTAATCCCCCACCTGGTCACTTTCCTGAGCTGTGTTCCCCGTCCTGTATTCCTGGATTTCTCTCGGATAATCTTCCTTCTCTGTGCTGCAGACACAATTTATGTATCTAGACTGGATTTATGGAGGTTCTGGGTGGGGATCAGCTGGAAGCTAAATCTTAATTCATTGCATACCTGCCTCTGCTCAACGTAATGACACCTGTCAGAGCCTAGACTTGAACTCAGGACCTCTACTGTGTCTGGCAGAAACTCTTCTCACTGAGTTACCTGATATAATGGACGGCACTCTCTGCTTATCCATTGCTGTGTTTTCTGCTGAACCTTGAACTCTTTGCTCCTCTCTCACTCATGAACTTCCTGATTTAAGCCATGTTTTTGCACTTCCTGGTTGGCAGATATTTGTTCCTTCTCCATCCAATATCTTGCCCCTTGTCTCTCCTGCTACCATTTCTGTACCTTCACTACTGACCTGGAAGCACTTGTTACTGACCCTTGGCTTGTTTATTGACTACTACTACTGTGACCTGGTACTAACACGCAGCCAAAACCCCATACCCACCATCTGGAGCTCCGGTGATACTGGTTAGTGCTTAGACCCCGCACCTCAGGTGAGCCCATGTCATCTGTCAGGGTGACCTGCCTGTATACCTATCCTGTTGGTTGGTCTTCCTTCTATAAATACTGGTCTCTGAGCCTGACCCTCTGACCAGCACAGGAAAATCTGACCCAAACATGGAGGCCGCTATATAGCCTACCAAGAAAAATGTTCCGAACTGGAAAGTGTGTAGTAAAGGGGCAACAGAGAAAATCCATGACTGCAAAGATGATTGCTGGGCATATGTTCCCGTGATGTTGCTAACACAGGCATTGCCTCTGTCATGATGAGTGATAGAGGGGGTGGGACCCTCGTCTTATGTAATCCCAGCTCATCACTGTCCCTCCTATAAAAGACAGTTCTGGTTGTTTTCCTCACTCTGACCAAAGGTCCATGAATAAAGAAATGACCCCCTGGTAAGAGATCAGAGGAGCCATTTCCTAGTTCCCTTGAGGGTGGAATTGTAAGCTCCTCAGAGACCAAGCTGCCTGATGTGGGCGGAGTCCTGGTTTGGGGGAACCAATCAGCTCCTGTCTAGTAATCTTTGTCTTTGTATTTTAGTCCATGGCCGGGAGATGAGGAAAAAACCTCCGAGGATTGTCTCACTTTGTCTCCAGACCTGGAAAGTAGAAGATGAGGACATCACACAGTAATAGTCCCAGGAGAAAACCCAGCTCCCTCCAATGTCCATCCCGGCACCACCCAGTGTAGTATGGACCATCGGATTCCTTCCTATCCTGAGGAACCTCAGACTGTGCGGGATACCGGGCCGGCCTTCCAACAGGGAAGAGCTGCATCTCCTGTACTGAGTGTGGGAAGGGTTTTAATCTGTTCTAAATCCAATCTTAACAAGCATCAGAGATCTCACATACGGGGGAGATAGCCGTATATCCTGTCCTGAGTGCGGGAAATGTTTTACAAAGTCTTCCAATCTTTACACACATCAGCGATCTCCACACAGGGAGAAGCCGTACTGCTGTCCTGAGTGTGGGAATGTGTTTTTCACAAGACGTCCAGTCCTTCATAAACATCAAAGATCTCACAACCCACGGGTCGAGAGAAGCCACTTTTCCTGTCCTGAGTGAGGGAATGATGTTCCTACACTGAAGTCCTGTCTTCCTGTACATCAAGGGGTCCCACACAACCCTGGAAGTTATCTAAAATTAGTGCCTTGAGTGCAGGAAATGTTCTTCTAGATGAATGTTGCTGACATCCCAGCTCTCATGGTTGGGGAAGAAGCACACCCTGATATACACCTCTCATCAGATATACTCCATGGCTGAATCTTCATCATGGAAAGAAACAGTCCATAAAGGAGATAACTAGAAGGGGGGGGCCCCAAAAGACATGGATGACAATATGGGACCAGGGTCGGCCACTGATAGCAAGGGAGAAGAATAAAAATATGGAGTCCCTTTTCCCTGTGAAAAAAAATAGAGTACATTTTGTTGGTGGGAGATATCTCACAATAAAAAACTTGGAAGGTCTTTTTAAAAAAAAAAAGGTTCTATCCTCACTGTATACCGGACCCTTCCCCACCCCCTTTTTTGTCCTGCCCAGAGCCGGACTGGTTACTATCAGCGCTCTTCCACCACATTGAATGACAATTAAAACCGTCATGCAACATTGTAACCCAAAATAACTATACTTTTTTGTAATTTTTTCACACGCGAGGCGAAATAGAATACATTTTATTTTGGGTGATATTTAAACATACCACAAATTTTACGCGCGATTTTTAGCTTGTTTCTTGTTTAACAAATAAATCGTCAAAAATTCCTATAAATGTAAGACAAAGGTGTATTTCCCCCCCCTGGGTCTGCGCCATTTCTTGGGTACAATAACCCCCAATCCAAAGTCTATGCTTCAAAATAATATACAGTAAAAGATAATAAAAAACAAATCAAATGGGAACGATATGTCTGATACCATCACATCATGTCTGATGACTATAGATAATTCAAAATCCTGAGGACCAAAAATAATCCACAAACCCTTAACAAATCGTAACAAAAACCCATAAACAATAAGAAATAACCTCCGATACACATTTCATAAATACAGGGCGGGATTTTAATGAATTAGATAATTCCCTAATAAAATTATCCATATAAATAATAAACAAAATCCGCAGTTAATCTTGTAATAAAAAAAATATAATGATACATTGGAACAATCAAAAACAACAAATAAAATATTATTAAAAAATGCAAAAATATAAATATAAAAATAATGTAAATCAGTAAACATTAAATGGATAAATTATATTAATAGTTGATGATTAATATTTAACAATACAAGATAACAGTAACAATGATCTAATCCACAATAATGGGGAGAAATAACTAAGCCAGCAATTACTTCCAAATATTAATGAATTACATCCAACCTGACTGTCTGGAAATGTCAGTCGTAAGAAACAGTAACTCACAACATGTGACAACAGAATATACAAATCCCCCCGGGGTGCGTGATCTCACTACAACCCAGTATATACAACGCACAAGCCGTGTACCTTGTCATGACTTGATCTGGAATCCCATACACAGGCAATTTCATCTAAAAAACAAAATAAAAAAAAAAAAAAAAAAAGATTGGAAAAAAAAAAAAAAAAAAAAAAAAGAAAAAATGTAA